GTTTTATTTTCCCAAAGCAGGACAAAATGATACCAGACGGTATGTTATCTGTTAGTAGAGCTCTTGCAATAGATTTTATTATAACAAAAAGAACACATATTTTACAGGTTGTGAGATTATCCAGTTTTACCTCTACAAAGCAACTGGGAGAGGAATTTATAGGTGGAAGGTATATCATAAATGAATACTAAGCTGGAAACCACACAATTAATTCAATAATTGTTCTTTATGAAGTGCTTGCTGAAATGACTGTTAGATTAAATGAGCCCCAGTAGTGCAGTAGAGTTAGCAATGTCATCTCTAACAAGGGGAAGAATGTAAATCTTACAACAGCCTACAGATGTTTATATTGAGTATCTCTAATCCAAAAGGTCCGACAAAATGAGGCCACCTTAGAATTGTGCAGTGGCAGTCTCTGCATAGCAACAGCTCCCTACAAGTACTAAATCCTCATTAATCCCTTCGGAATTCATTGTAATGACACTAACTGTGTCAAACTCATTGGGCATTAATATAAATGTTGTATGTAACCCCATGGGAATCCAGAACAAAACTCCTCAAATATCCTGCATCCATTCTCCTCAATAACAAAAATTGAGTTGCAGCCTAATTACCTGATTATGGTGAATAAATATTTCACTCATTTTTAAAGCACTGATTGAATTCAATTCATTTATACCAATATAGGTGCAGCATGTGAACAAGACATGATTAGCAATTCATTGTCTTTCAGTAAGAGTTAATAGACTTAAGAAAACAAAATAATTCAACATTAATGCCAAGTCAAACACCTGGTTATTCTGTCCTCCCTTCTAAAGCACCAGAATAGTATTTCTGGCAATACAAAATACACAGCAAAGGGTCTTTCAGAGAAGACTCTGAGAGTGTAAAACAAGAAAGATGTACCGTTCCTTCAGTGATTAAAACTTATCTTGAATCCCAGTTCTGCAAGTGACTGGGAATGGCCTCCTCCAGAGCTGCTATAAGCCCTTCCCAGTAATTGCCCAAAATAATTGCTTTTCTTTCCTTTGGACCACCCTGAGATTTCTGAGCATGGTAGAGCAGCTCAAGACAACTTAGGGGTAAAGTCTTTAAGAATTAGAAAAGATTCACAAAGAGAAATGTGGAGAAAGAAAGCAACTTTCCCATATGCATGTCCAGGAGCAGTATCTCAGAGAAGCTGTAATCTGCTGAAAATCTTTTGAGATGGCTGGATTTTGAAAACTTCAATTATGTTATGGTCTCCAGTCATATTTGCATAGCTATTGCAAATAACAGCGATATCATCCCAACCACCCTCTGTGGAAAAAATCTCAAATGCCTACCATGCTGCATGTAAGGATATTAACTTGATGGCAGTCAATCTTGCTAACGAGAATTCTATAAATTCCTTGATTTGACTTCAATAAACTTTGACTGGGGCGAGAGACCTATTCCACAGTAAGCATCTTGACCAATGCATTGCTTAAATTTACAGATTTCTCCTATCTTAACACAAAAGTAGAGAAGTGTTATATAAGAGCCCTGACAGGAACGTGGATACTGGAAGTCTGAGTCACAGAAGACAGGCCGAAAGCACTCTATTAGATTGATAAAATGAACTGAAATCTCTGGGTAGACACTTTTGCACTGCACCCACAATATTATTTTTGATTTGCTAGGAAGAAAGCAATTTATTCTGTCACTTTCTGGGGACTTAGAGCTAATTGGCCTTTCATAGTTATGTGATTCTGCAAATGAGCATAAAAGTGAGAGCTGACAAAAATTCAAACAGGAAATCTGAATCTGCCTATTTTCATAAGTATCTTATAATGGTTTGTAGAAAGGGACGAGATTTTGATTAGAATAGCAAATTTCTTCATGCAAAGGGAAGTACTCCAAATTACCCATCACTGTAACAAACAGAAAAATTGCTCTTCATTCAGGATCCTGGATGAAAGAAAACGAATGTTCTTTTCTGAATCCCACCCAAGCCATCTCCTCCAGACCATCCGTGCAGCCAGTCAGCACTGTCACTGGTGGGCATTCCTCAGAGGGTATGATCTATTCTAGCTCACCAGCTCATTTTTGCTTTTCTACCCCAATCCACTGGAAAAGACATGCATAATACATCACATCTTAGAGAGCAACGAGACAGTGTGTCTACAAATGCAACAGCAGGAGAAAAGAAATACAGAGAAAAGTAACTGAAACCTCCATACAATCTTAATACAAAAGGAAGCTGGAAAAGATTAAGTTCAACATACAAAAAAAAAAAAAAAAAAGTATTCAAAGCCGGCAAGGAATGTTAAGGTATTTTCACAGTGTCTGGCACAGATGACAGAATGAACACCATGGAGGGAAATGGAAGAAAAGCAAATGAAAGAAAACAGGAAGCACTATTTCTCATGCACAAAATATACAGAGTGAATTTGCTGAGGCAAACAGACTGAGGTCATTAACGAAATTGAATTGAGCCAGACTCAAGTTTGCCTTTCAGATTTTTTGGATTGAAGTAAATTTCACCTTCCCTCCCCTCCTCTCCCTTCTTTTCTTTTTCTCTCCCTTCCCCTCCCCTCCTCTCTCCTCCTATTCCCTCCTCTCCTCTTCCTCTATTCCCTCCTCTTTCCTCCCTTCTCTTGCCTATCCCACCCCTCCTCCTCTTGTTCTCTCTCTTTCCCTCTCTCTCTCCCTCTTTCTCTCTCAGTGACTGACCACCTGCTCTCTCCCTAGCTATCTATGTGGCAAAATTTACCTGAAAAGCAGTAAGTCAAGCAGACCAATCTGGAATTTACACTATGTGGTTGTACATTTTGTAGAACTTTACAACACTGGGTAAAAACTTACGTCTCAAAAAAGCAGCTCTCCTGACTGCCAGTTCTTTTGCCATATTGAGGCACTAAAGCTCCTTTTTTCCCCAAGCTTGAGCTTTCAAAGTTATTTTCCACTCTGATGATTACAGACAGCTCGACAGACAAAGAAAAAGGGGGTTTAAAAATAGGCAGTCACTACTAATATGTACTTTGCTGTTTTTGACCAGGAAAAAGAAGCCTGGGTATCATTTTGCTATTTCTTAATCATCAATGTCAAAAAAAAAAAAAAAAAAAGAAAGAAAGAAAGCCACTTCTGGAAATGCAGACATAAAAATACATTTATACTGAATAGATCAGCAAGAAAATAAGGTGATAAATCTTGCTCACAAACAGTGCTCTGTGTTCCTACAGGAAAATTGGGGATTAAAACAAGAAAGTGATTAAAATCACAATATTTTGAATTTGTAATAAGAATTTAAGATGAGAAATATGTTTAAAATAAGTTTACTGTTACAGAATGCATATTCTGTGAATGAATTCTATAGTCAATATCTCAGTATTATCCCTTGGAGACCTTTCAGTCTCTGTCAGCTCTTCTGTGTTCTAAAAAATCCACTTCTCCATTGGTTCTCATTGTTACATTTTTAATTGCAGGTATGCTAGTTCTGTCTCTTTCTTTCTTCACTTTACACCAGGCTTGTCATATTTAAAGATCTAAAAATTCCCAGAAACAAAGTTAAAGTGTATTTTATATTATCTTATTTGAGGATATCACAGGGAAATGTTGACCTTGGGTGACTTGAAATGCCATTGGTATCCATTTCAGGGGCAAAAGGAAAAATAAAATAGGTTACCATGGGTTCATATTTAGTGAACTACTTTCACTGTCATTTACCTTTACTCAAAAGTATATCATATACCTTTTATGTGTGTTATTAAAAACATAATGTTCTTAAGTATAGTTTTGAAATATTAATAGGTACTCTTTATTGAATGCCTACTTTGTACTAGACTGTATGCTTTGTGCTTTACAAAAATAATATCTATTTATAAGCTCTCTGAAGATTCTTTGTAACTATTGTCTTTTTACACGAAGAGAAACTGAGGCTCACAAAGATTGCATCTTGGCTAAGCTTCCTCACCACAACTGTTTCCCCAGTGAGTGGTGGCTGGCATCAAACCCAAGGCTCTCCAGGTCCTAACTTCACATTCTTTCTTTTTCCCCTGTATAGTGTCATCTTTCCCCTGTTAGTTTCCTAGGAACCAATTAATCTTCAAAATAAAGGAGAGTGAATGAATTCATTCCTTTTAAGTTACTCCATGGAAGACTTCAAATGACTATCCTAAGATATCCTACAAATGAGTCAGCAAAGAACCAGGAGGCAATCCAGACTCAATAACTGGTCAACAGGACCAGGGTCTAGAAACTATCATGAAAGATTTATTGATGACCTAAAGCATACGCAGCATTGGCTTTAGTGATGTGGGGAGTATGAGGTGAGGTATCTGTCAATAAGGAACTTAAACTCTAAGAGGTAAAACTAGTCTAACATGGGTATGAAAAGAGGGTGTAGCTTATAGTAATGCCTAACACAGTCGGCCATGTCAGAGAATAAAAGGGTTCATACGTTCATGAATAAACAAATCCGTAAGCATCCAAAAACATTTTTCTGATATTCATTGCTTGATGGCATTCTAAACTCTATTACACACTTCCCTGATTCCAGAAACATAGATTATTGCACAGAATTTTCCCTTTCCTCGATGACTCAGGATCATCACTTTGCATTTCAATCACTGTACTGTGGGTGGCAGCACAGTGCCTCCAGGAGTTGTTGAGTTATGAGAAGCCACCTTCCTGGACACTCAGTGGCCTCAGACATTAGAACTTTGGACACTTTTCTATCCACACTGCATAGGTTTTGCATTCTTTCTCCCGTTCAGATGCCATCTCTTGCTGCTTTCATGGTGACTTTGCTCATTCTTTTTTTTTTTTTTAGATGAGAGTCTTGCTCTGTCGGCCAGGCTGGAGTGTAATGGCACCATCTCAGCTCACTGCAACCTCCACCTCCCAGGTTCAAGTGATCCTCCTGCCTCAGCCTACCGAGTAGCTGGGGCTACAGGCACATGCCACCGCACCTGGATAATTTTTGTATTTCTACAAGGTGAGTTTTCACCACGTTGGTCAGGCTGATCTTGAACTCCTGACCTCAGGTGATCCACCTGTCTGTGCCTCCCAACATGTTGGGATTACAGGCACGAGTCACTGCATCCAGCCTTTGCTCATTCTTATCTGCTGTGCCCTGGATAAGCAAGGCCTCTTATGATTGTATCTATGGCTTGCTTGTTTAGTTTCACCTCTTAGTTTTGTGGGTTTTTTTTTTCTACTATTAATGCCATTTTCTACAATTCTATTCAAGTAATTCACAAATCTATATAGCTCCTAAATTCAATATGCCGTTTCACCCTATGTGTCTATGCATTGAATGCCTTTTCTTTTACTTATCTACATTTAAAAATAATGACAATAAATATCATTGTCGGTCTTCAAGCCTGGAGAAATAAGAATCTCCAGAGAAGTCTCCCTGTAGGTACCATTTTCTAAATCCAAGATAGAAATAATCAGACTCATTTCTGGAGAACCACAGAAATGTTTGTATAGTTACGACTCAACATACTATATTATATAGAGGGTAATTGTTATGTTTATAAAATTGTTGTCCCTGCTACAATGTAAGCCCTTTAAAGGTATTATCCACTTTTACATCCCCAGCACTTAACTCATGGTGTGGTATATAGTAGGTGTTCAATAAATTGCACACATAGTAAGTCCTGCATTGATTTTTACACAACCATGTACCTTTTTTTCTGGAATCAAGCAACTGAGTGCTATGAGATTTTCCCCACATTTCTGGATGAAGGACATGTTGTTATTTATAATTAACTATGTGCTACAGAAAACAAATACATTATAATAGGCTTTCAGTACAGGGAAAATCTCATCAAGCAGAGTACCCAGAGAGGCTTCAGGGAAAAAGTGACAGTTGAATTTGGACTCTTCAGTTGATGTGTACAAGATACCTGGGGCAGCCCTGGTGGCAAATGTGTTATTTATGGAGCTTGAATAAAGCAAATAACTGTTTATCTCCATAAAGATATTATGTTGCCATGTTGGTCTATTAAAAATAAATAAAATGTCTATCATAATGATATAGCTTCTCTCACTTTAGCTGAGTCCCTTAGATTTACTGAAAGGTTGGCGCAGGGCCACCAAACTCACCCCAGAAATGAGCTGAAGCAGAGGTATAAATGAAATCAGCGGTGGGAGAAAAGAATGTTGAGGTCCTGTGCAAAAGCTGGGATGCTTGCCCCTGATGCTCATTAGGTAGTAGGGGAGGGCTCCAGTTTCTTCCCAAGCAGCAATCATGCCCCTGGTGGTAAGACAGAGATGCAGGGATTTGACTCCTTTTTGGCTACATTACTCCTAAAAAGTGGTTGACAGATGATGCTGGAAATGGGAATCTGACGTTGGCCTTGACATCTTGCCAACTGCTCAATCGCTAGCCAATGTATATCTTTTAGTGAACTGCATTTTTTTAGAAGCTGAAAACTTCCATTTACTTTTTTAAGTAAATTTTCCCATGAACTCAGACTTTGCAATATTACAAAGTAAACCAGTGACCATTTTCAATTGATTTAAGAAATATAGGAGAAAGAAATATAAAGGCTTCGGTTTTCTTTATCTAACCTTGACTCCAGCCTTCTTCCTCAGTGCAATTTTCTGTTATAATATGCAGCATTAGAAGAAGTCTTTTATGACACAGAAGCCTCAAAAAAATTATGTGAACTGAAAAGCAGTTCATCAAAAAAGACAGTCAAAAAGTCCGTTGCAGTAGGTTATAAATGAGTTCCCATCAGTAAAGGTATAAACATAGAAACCACTTATGTAAAGCACATACCGAAATCAGGAGCTCTTGGAAATGCATGTTACAATACTCAAAGCAATTTGTTTTGTCTATGTACAGTATGTATGCCAACGTGTCACGCAAAATAAAACCACAGACCACACTTCTAAGTAATCCATTTCATAAAGCCGTGCTATTTAGGATCTTTATGCCTCCTTCTTTTAATCTTTTTATAAGATGATTTCTCCAGTATTACATGTCAGGGTCTGATCTAACATTGTTTACTTTATCCCATTTTAGTGATACATTAGCTCTGTGTCACCGACTTGCAGTGGCTTTCATTTGGAACAAACTGAAAAATGCTCTTCTTTTAAGCCTCCTTTCTTCAAATTCCTTTTCTACATTTCCTTTCGAGGCAACAACTCTCCACGCCTTCTTGATCAAGACAGACAAACTAATGGCTGAGTGAGCTTTAATTTCTAAGCTTCTGGCATTCAAACTTGATTTGCATTGTCATATGGAATTATTTGATATTCAGTAAAAAATACTATTTCTTCCTTTCCGTTTTTCTTTCCCTTTTCTAGACAACCAACCGCTGGGAAATTATTGTCAAAGTCTTGAAACGATTTCCCAATGATTGCTTGTTAGTACAATACAATTTCTCGCTCAGCCCTGGTCTCTCTTCAGTTCTCTTCTGGGGATCAGTGAATCCCGTGCGTCTGTAGCACACACTGTGCACAGGCAGTGTAGAGACACCCTCCACACACAGACAGCTCTCTACTCTTCTCTGTGGTGGCACTTAGGGGTATCTCAGTGAGTGAACAGGAGATGAGGAGACAGATGTAAAAAGGCAAAAGTAAAAGAGGAAGCCTGAATTTAAAAAGAAAAAGAAAAATGATTCTTCACAGATTTTAAGGATTTATATGTTGATAAGCATTAACCACAAGCATTAAGTTCAACCTCCTTGAGTGCCTCCTCTATGCAAAACTGTATGTCTGACATTGGAGGCTGGAGGGGGCAAATGGCACCTTTGCCTCCAAGATGCCCACAGTGCAGTCAGAGGGATGGACAAGTGAGCAACCAATTCAAGGCAGACAGTTAAGGAATGTATATATGAAGCAGGATAAAATAAGTCCTATGAAGATACAGGCTATGCAGTGATTCATTCTGACTCAAAGGACAAAGAGAGGAATGTCAGAGATGGTCTCATTCAATGTTGGAGCTGCTCTCATTTCAATAGGCAGAAGAGTTGAGAAAAGAAAAGAGAAAGGTGGACAGATCATAGAGGGATAGAAGGAAATGAGCTGTAGGTGAAAAGAGAAAAGCAAATAGGAAGAAAAAAAAAAAGGAATAGAATGGCAAGAAACAGGGCCAGATTTAATTTCAAGAGAATTAACCTGGGAAATACTTATAACTCAGGAGGCTGTGAATCTAAGGACTTTCTTTTAAGTGCCAACGGCATAAACTAATCTATTTAATTAGAAAAATATGCTTGTATTGCACTCTGAGTAATTTCCCAGAGGAAAACTTGTTTCTTTTACAGTTAAAGTTTTTGTTTAAAGCCTCTCTCCCTCCACTCCCCTTGCTCTACCACAGAACCCACACCTTTTCAGCAGGTGCTAACTCCTATGAAATTATTGTCAGCCGGGATGTGAACACAACCCTTCCAAGAGCTCACGTTTGTTTTTTGGGTACTGAAATAGAAACACATTAACCTAGATATCCCTGAGCCTTCCAGCAGGTACTTTATAACAATAAAGAAAAAAATCCAAAATGTATTTCTTCATTGAGTTGCCGAACCTTCACAACAGCAAATAACTCAAAGTGTAATATGACATATCTTAAGAGCTCACTAAGCAGTAAAACTATTTAAAATAAAGCAGAACTTCTCTAGTTAATTCAACATCTTCTTTCAATATGTTTGTGGTCTAAGAATGTTCTCTCTTATAGCAGTAAGGCAAGGTACTTAGTCTTTCTTGTACCTATATTAAAAGGAAAATAGATTCTGGTGGCCTGCAAATTGAAACAAGATAAGCTCCTTTTTGCACGCCACACAGTAAGGGCTGCAAATAGAAATTTAAATACTTTATCACAATTTTGCCCCTGAGTAAGGAAATTCAAACATATTAATTGAACCAACACAACAATTAATTCAAATAAGATTAAAGTGCTCTAAATATGCTTCCTGCATGTTCAATGAAAAGATTAAAAGGATACATACATGCTCAATTCTAACCTATTTCTGCCTAGTTTTGTATACTACTAGTTCTGCTTACATTTACTTATATAGAACAGTCTCAGATAATAAATATGAAATTGGGGAAGATAAATTCAAAATAAAGACATTTATATAAGAATGAAACAAAGCAAGTGAAAGATATAAAGGATGAGATAGAAAAGGAATTAAGAATACTGCGGAAACCTTGCAAATAGTAACATTTTGTAGTTGAGAAACATTTTAAAATCTTTGTAGTGGTACCATGTAAAATTAATAAAATTTTTCAAAGCCAGCTTAACTTGCCTCCTTTCTTGTAATCTAAAAAAAGAAATGGAGAATTTAGAACATAGTGTAATATGATCTAAAAATCTGCTTTTAGATTCAAGAAACTTTATTTCCTAGAGACACTGCATACACAATCAAGTCCATAACATTATTAAATATTGTGACCAAAAATTCATTTCAGGTAGGTTACCTTACATGCAAGCGACCTGAATTTGAATCTGTGTTCTGGTGGCTAAAGGCAATGTATCTCATTATAAATAAAGGATGGAGTTTAAATCTCAAGGAAAGCTTTCTTAATATCTATTTTTGCACTGAATACTAAATACACTTCAGCATACTTTTATGAACACCTATGATTTATGATTTCAGAAACGTGTACATAATTGTTCTGTTTTATGGTAGGTGAATGTATACCATAATTCTTTACACATTTTGTATACATATGTGTAAGTAACTCAAAAATTCAATGAATGTATTTCTAAAGGTTAGCAAAGGTGTGATGAAAGCTTTATTTTTATTTGCCTTTACTATTATTTACTGCTTCATGCAAACCATAAAACCATCCTTATAACTAACAACTAGATCTGTTAAGATGATCTTACATTAGAAATTATACAAAAACCACTTGCAAATTATTTTTGTATCAAATCAACTCTGGTTTGAAACAGTTTCCCCAATTACTAAAAGGCATGCTCACATAAAAGGATCGCTAGCCCACAAACGTGCTGCCCTGCGTTTTTTCCTGGAAAACTCAGAATAGGATCTGTCAGGTATATCCACTAGCATAACAAACATGTCACCCAGATTTGCATTGGGAATTAAAACATTCTGTAGCCTGACAAAAGGCTGTGTGTTTTTAGCAACCGTGACGAGAAGAAGGCACTGCAATACCTAGACATTGCAAGTTAAAAGTCTCATCAGACAGCTTGAAAAAGCACTATAATCCCATGATGGAGCCTCCCTGAGTAGCAAGTCATGCTACAAAGACCCTCAGCTGCATCCCCAACCCAATGGTCCAGGCAAGTCTAACTCTATATCCTACAAATCCGACATTGTTTTTTATTCTTATAGTTTATACTTCAGTTATATTGGAAACAGGAATGTAAGGAAAGGCACATGTAAAAGGTGAGAAATGTTTTTGTTATTAAAGCTCAACTCACATATTCACTAGCATCAAACGTGAAACAATAATATTTATAAAATAATACTGTGGTCACTATGCAAGCAAAAATTAATACGAAGAAGATTACAGGACAATACTATAAAACTTACCCATTATTTTCATAAAAAATTGCATTGCTTATTTAAGTGAGAAGTAGGGCTGAGAATTTTCCCATTTATATAATGCATCCTTCATAATCTGCCTTAAAAATTTTACAATTAGTGCATTTCTTAGTTTTAAATTAATACCCAGTAAATATTTCTAACAAAATTTTATACATACCAAAATGGATCTGCACATATTTTAATCATGGATATGTGATAACTGAAAGGAAATCTCCTCTACATAAATTAGAAGAATTACTGCAATTAACTCAGTTTTGTTTGAAGTGTGACAGGTTTTGGTTGTTTTTCAGGTCATTAGTGAAAAATAGGAATCAATTTATTAGCAGTTTCATAAAAGCAGTCTTTTTAGAAATATTGCCTATCTCTTAACTCTGTGTGTAATTTGGCCTTGTCATTAACTCTACAAGTAGTTATAAGACTTTCCTGTAAGAAAAATGTGACCAAATAAAGTGCTCACCACAAATGGATAAAATTTAACTTATATTAATAAAAAGCAGATTGTCCAGCAAATGTTCTAATAACTTTACATTTTAAAGCACAATTTCCATTACAGTTATTCATTAAAAGGGTTCCTTTTATAGAGAAAGTGTAACTGACATGCTAGATTACCCTCTGATACATGAAATACAGTTTCCACCTAAATATCTCTACTCTAAACATGATGAGGAGCAATGAACCACCACTGAGAAATATTATTACTAACATTCTATATTTTTATAAAACAAAAAATGACACATATTATAAAATGGCACAGGCTACAACTCTTAAACCAGCATTTAACACCTTTTTTGGCCACTTTATTATATAACACTATCATTTTCATTTATTCTTTATTAGTGATTATTGATATATTATATATGAGTGCATTGTTAATATTCAGAAGTTAAGCATATTTGCATTCTGTACTAATGAGCAAAAACTGAATATATTCTCTGTGCCAGAAACTTACTTTTATGATTTTAATCTTCCTCTACAACCCTTGAGGTAGAAATTTATTATCCCATTTTCAGATGAGTAAATGAGGCTACAGAAGTTATATAACATATCCAAAGTCACACAGCTAATAGTGTTAAGTTCAGCATTTGAACACAGACCTGAATGGCATCAAATGTGATTGCTAATGCCTGTTAGAAGTGTTATAACTAATTCTATTCATTATTTGTTTTCCAAAATATAAGTAAATTGAAAGGTGGCTTTACAAATGAACATTCTTTAGTCTCCTACAGAAGTATTTTCTTCTGTATCATCCTTACTTAATGTACAACTGCTAAAAATTCTCTCATTGTCACCAGAGTCCTGAGAGTACTTAGTAAAGCATGTAAGACTCAGTACATGTGGTCCTCCACATCTGTGGGTTCTTTATCCATGCATTCAACCAGTCATGGATCAAAAATATTCAAAAATATTCTGAAAAAAATTAAAATACAACAATAAAAATATACAAATATTAAAATGCAGTATAACAACTGTTTGCATAGCATTTACACTCTATTAGTTACTATAGGTAATCTAGAGATGATTTAACCTATACTGGAGGATGTGCACAGGTTACATGCAAATATCACACTGTCTTCAAGGTTGCAGATTTTGGCGTCCTAGAGGGTACTGAAATCATTGCCTAGGGATACCAAGGGAAAACTGTACTGCCCCCTCTGAAGGATGGAGGGAGAGGACAAAACACTCCTGGGTTTCATCTTGCCAGAGGAAGCTGTGTTTTATAATTAGCCTGCCCAGGGCAGGTACGTTTTTGCAGTCTACTCTAAGTCATCATTTTTGTAAGCCATGGCTCCAAATGCCGTCAATACATTTTGATTATTTTCTATAATAGGGTTTAGGAATTTATAAATTTTTTTTTCTCTGAAGCAGAACAAGTAAGATATAGGAGATGGGGAAGTCAGTTGCTGCTAGACCAGTGTCTGGAGAGATGTGATTCAGTTCAGTCAATTTAATTAAACACTCACTTATTGATGGGAGTTACCAAGCTGATGGGTCTTCGAAAGAGGAAGAGTTGGCCAGGAGCAGTAGCTCATGTCTGTGATCCCAGCACTTTGGAAGAAGGCCAAGGTGGGTGGATCGAGAACATCCTGGCCAACATGGTAAAACCCTGTCTCTGCTAAAAATACAAAAATTAGCCATGTATGGTGGCACACGCCTGTAATCCCAGCTACTCGGGAGGCTGAGGCAGGGGAATCACTTGACCCTGGGAGGCAGAGGTTGTAGTGAGCTGAGCAGAGATCGCTCCACTGCACTCCAGCCTGGTGAAAGAGTAACATTCTGTCTCAAAAAAAAAAAAGAGAAAAGAAAAGAAAAGAAAGAGTTCTCAGGATCTTTAGAGAAAAAGATGACTGGAAAGATGAATAGTGAATCATCATTCTAGAGAAGAGAATAAACTGAGAAGTGTTAAAAGCTGCTATACCTAGTCTTGGGATATTGTTTTTCTCTCAGGAAGATGTTCTGTATAAGGGAGATGGGGAAGATGTTCGTGCCAACAGAAAAGCTAAAAGTTACATTTTTAATGGCACACTTCTCTTGCCTTTCATTTTTTAATGATTTTTTAATATTACTAAAAATCTTGTGTTGAAAATATATATTCAGTATTCATTAATTCAAACAGAAAGTTATTTGCAAAAATAGATTGACCTTTTTAAATTTTTACCCAAATCCTCTCACTTATAAATAGTAGATAGTCATATCAGTTTAGTATACTCTCATTCTGAATTTCATTTTCTCATTTCTCTGCAATCTAGGTCCAGTGACTTACCTTCTGGGAGTTCTGATTTTTTTTTTAAGATCTCTTATAAAGAAATTGTATCTATAATAGGATTTCTGTAACAATTAAGTGGGGTAGTGTACATAAAACCCTTAGCACAGGGTCTGGAATTTGACAAGGTCTTAATAAGTTGTGACATCATTGTTTGGGTTTGTTGGTTGGTTTGTTTGCTCTCTCATCAAGCATAATAAATCCAAAATGCCTGCAAGAAATCTGACTATATGATGTTTTAAATCAGTGACTTAGCTTCCTTTTCAGTTTTCTTTCCTCAAGTGAAATTTCTTGTTATTTACATAAGTCTTGTTTTTTCATAAAAAAAGTGACTAAAAGCCACCATCTAAAAGCCATAAAGCTGATGAATAAAACCAAAGAAGTACATTTTTCTAATGTTAGTATACAATCACCCTTGCTTCAAATTGATATCTTTAGTTTCAAACTTTGTTTAAGAAACGTCAAGGACTATCATGTCAGGCCAAAATTATGTACTAAAATTATTATACATTCCATTTTTGAAAAAGCCCTACTGTGAAAGAAAAATCACTGGGATTTTTATAAAACAATCACAAGAAGTTTCTTTCTGCCTTCTTCCTTTCCCAGTAAAAATGAGAAAACAGTATCATTATATAAAGAAAAGAGACAGAATTCATAGATTGATGGGCTCTGAAGAACAAAAGATAGCTAACAGTTAAAGATAACTCAAATAGTGGGCTTTGATGTTCTTTTTCAGCTGTCCTATTAAATACTTCTTCTTTTTTCACGTTCCAATTGTACCAAATATGAAAAGCCCATATACAAAAGAAATAATAAAATGCTTGTTAATCTAATAACAGAATGCCAAGAACAGAAAGCCTATCCCACCACAAAGTGTAATTGAGATTTCCTATGCCACAGACGGTTTGTGATCAGAAACCTTGAAGAAAAAAAAAAAAGCCATCAATAGAAATGACGCTTCCACTGTGAGCTCATGGTCACAGCAAGGCTAAAAGACCAGGGACATAAAGCCCCATTAATTGTACTTCCCAGGGGTCAGCAAACATCCCAGTTTGCCTGCGAGAGTCCCGATTTATGTCTTTTATTGGTGTAATTATTATTAGAGTACCTTTAACTCCAAAAGCGTCCCAGTTTGGACAATAAATTATATAGTTGCCCTAGGTTTACCCCTACTCCCTCCTTTTCCTTTCCTTCTCTTTCTCTTCACAAAACTAAGGGCAAGCTATTTTAACTCTTCAGGGCAGGTGAGAAAGAAGAAAAAAGTTAGGCTTTTTAAGCTCAGCTTTTCATTGGACCACTGTTCATTTTCTTAAAGCAGAGCAGATTTCTAGTCTGAATTGCTTTTGACATGGTCCTATTTACCTGTGAAACATTTGGGGTAGAATTTCCCTCTACCTTCCCCACCATCCTCTCTCCATTACGAATTGCTGCCTAACTCTATGGCATAGTGTTCAGTCAGCTTATTGAATTCTACCTGAAATTTTCAAGAATTATACCTCAAATGAGGACTCCTTAATATAATTGCTGTTTCTTTAAAATAAAAAAATCAGATGTTCAACTTAGGTTATTCAGCCAAGAATAGCAGTTCATCTCAGCTGCAAGAAAGGCTGAGCACCTTACAGCAGGAGCCTCTTAATCAAAAAGCAATCTTTTGGGATGAGTTAGTGGTACTTTGCCTCCGGCAGTAACCAGATCCCCCACTTTCATTGTATATTTCCACAGGAGTCTAATGATGAAATACATTAGATCTTCTCACAGGTGAAGTAGAAACACACTCAAAGCATTGCCTTTCTAGGGTCACATGGTGCTTCTAAAAACAAGGGGAGGAGATCAGCAGCAATAACAGCATCCAAACCAACAATGTATTCTGCAAGTAAAAGCCTTGAGGAGTAAGGGAAGAAATTCGCCTTTCACAGGAATATTCATAGGAAATTCACTATGTGCAATATTGCAAAGAAAAGAAACACAAAACGATTTGGTTTTCTGACAGGAAGGACAGGGAGAGTAAATCTTTGTTTCACAATAAAAAGCTTACCATTTAGTCATGAGGTTATCCTTGACTCTTATCCAGAAAAGCTTTACAGCTGCAAGGAAAAAAATATATAATTCATTTGAGGAAAAATGTCCTAGTATTGGGGGATAAAGATTTACACCTATCCAGTGGGTTTTGTCTGCTCTAGATTCACAAAGACACAGCATTATATAGTGGGTAAAAATATAAGAAGGTATAAGTCTTCATTATTTGTACACAGAGAACATAGATTGCATTTAATTGAATTATTTTATTTCTATTTCATTTATTTTCACATAGGCATACAAACTTACGTATGGTATATACAATGCGCATATCTATACATACACAAATAAGATGTTTGCTCTCTTTAACATATACATAAATGTGAGTACTTTCACACACATCACTGTTTTATAAAACAAGTGGCAGACACAGCATCTTTCTTTCCCACTTCATGGTCTCATGACCTCCCAACAGAGCAGGGATTCAAAAACAGGTTAGGTGGTAGTGTCTTAGATTTGTCGTGCCTTCAAAACACCTTATTGACTTCTGTTGTGCTCTGCAAGTAGCCTCAAGCTAAACAGGTAAAAGCAAATTATGAATCAGGGTAAAAGGCTATATAAATATGCCTTATTTGTTTTTTGTGGTGGTTTTGTTTGGTTGTTTTGTATTGTTTTTAACCTTCACTGATTCCGGTAAGGTAATTAAGTAGTTGGACATAAAAGATCTCCAGCTGGGTGATAGGCTTTGTGGGAAAGGGAAATTAGACAAAAGGTATTGAGTAATAACCACAAATGGCTTTACAGCCCATTCCATTTGAATGTCAATAGAACTCACAAAGCAAGATTTCCAGAAGATAATCAGCAATGACTCCCCCAAGTATGATCAGGAAATGAATATAATTAGCCATTTGCAAGCCAAGAGGTCTGCCACTATGATTTCATATTCAGTTATATATATATATATATACACACACACACACACACACACACACACATACACACATATATATTTGTATATATATGTGTGTATATATATGTATATGTATATATATATGTGTATATATATAAATATATGTGTGTGTGTGTGTGTGTAT